GAAATCCTGGCTTATTATATTCCATCCCAAAGTAATGGATTTTGAAAAATGTTGTGATTAGTATCATCCCCTATTTATGGGAAGCCTACTTCATTCTTATTGAATATCAGTAATATTTGTACCCTACATTCCCTTTTATGTATTAGACTAGAGGCCCGGTGCACAAATTCATGCACAGGTGGGATCCCTTGACCTGGCCGGTGATTGGGGCCTAGCGGGGGCTGGCCAGCAAGGGGGAGGGACCACAGGAGGTTGGCCAGCCAGTCAGGGGGGCTGGCCAGCCGGGGTGAGGAGCTGCAGGAGGTTGGCCGGCCGAGGGAGGAAGGGGCCTCAGGAGGTTGGCTGGCTGGCCCCCTCCGATCGGGGCTGAGGGGGGGGAGGGGGCAGCCAGCCGAGAGTAGGGGCCACAGGAAGTTGGCCGGGCAGTGGAAGGGGCTGCGGGAGTTTGGCTGGCCAGCCAGTGCCGGTTGGGGAGGAGCCGCAGGAGGTTGGCTGTGGGAGTGCACTGACCACCACGGGCAGCTCTTTGCATTGAGCATCTTCCCCCTGGTGGTCAGTGCGCGTCATAGCGGCTGGTCGACCTGTTCTTCAGGTTGTTTGTTTGTAATGGTCGTTTAGGCTTTTATATACTAGTATATAGATACACAGTATTTACATGTTGATTATTTCTTTATTAACACTATATATACATTATATATATATATATTTCCCTCTTCTTTTACCAGTTTCTCAAACAATTAGGCCTGCATCCTAAATGGCAATTTGTCGATGTATATGGAATGGATCCTGAACTCCTTAGCATGGTACCAAGACCAGTGTGTGCAGTATTACTTCTCTTCCCTATTACAGAAAAGGTAATTGTTAAGTAAGATATAAAGTTTTCAGTAACTGCAAAGTTCTCTTTTATTGTTCTATTAAATATTATGCTCTTCTTTAACAACAAATGACTCCCTTCTTGCATAAAAAGAAGAAATCTACGGAGCAGGGATACCTTAAATATCTAGTTTTATTGAAGAGATGATATTTAGATTTTGATTTGTAGAATGACAATAAAACCCTGAGTTAGTCTTTTAAACTTGTGTAATTTTCTTCTTTTAAAAAATTTAGTGAGATTGCCTCAACTATGGTTTGATGTGACATTTATTCACATTTTGATGTATATACTTTAAGCATTTTTTATTGATTTTTGGATAGAGGAATGGAGAGGGAGAGAGAATCATTGATGTGTCAGAGTGGAACATCCATTGGCTGCCTCCTGCACGCCCCCTACCAGGGATTGAGCCCACAACCCAAGCAGATACCCTGACTGGGAATCGAACCAGTAACCCTTTAGTGCACGGGCCATTGACCAGCCAACTGAGCCACACTGACCAGGGCTTGATGTATATACTCTAGAAATGTTAAGTAATATGATGATATTAAATCTGTCTTAGAAAATATATGAATAAAGAATATGTTCAAATGTTCAATGTATAAAATATATAAATTTAAAAATATATGTAAAAAGAAATCTGCTTTTTTTTTTAAGGTGATAGGTATAACTAATGGCATGGGTTACATTATTTTCAGGATAAACTTGATTTAGGTGGAAACACTAAGATTAAACATAGTTTAATTGGCAGATTTAGGATGTGTTGGAATTATAGTTATTAGATTTCTATTTAAATTCCAGTCACTGTATTTCAGGCTTTCTAGAATGATGTCATATAGATATATGTATTATGGAGCCAGAACATTTAAGTTCATTTTAATACAGCTTGTAAGTCCAAATCTTTCTGATTTTTATTTAAACTTAGAAACAATAGGATGAACTTGGTAGTTTTAAAAAATGAAGTAAACGTTTGGGAAGATATATGAGAAATGAGGTGTTGATGATTTGGCATAAAATGCTCAGGTCATCTTATTTTTCAGTAATAGAAGGAGCTGTGTCTCAAAGAAATTAAGAGTTAGGCTTTGCTCAGTCCTAGAAATTCCTGGATCATTTTCTTTATACCAAAACTAATTAACCTCAGTTCAAGATAAAATAAAAAATACTCAAATATTTCTCTCTTTTAGTTAGGAGTGCTGTAAAACAAATTAGTTAAAGAAGGGATATTTCTTCATATTAGCTGTTTGCACTATTCATAGAAATTTAGAGTTAGAAATTGCTTGTGGTTATCCAGTATTAGACTGAACACCTACTTTTAGTGGCTGTGATTATTCCGGAATTTGAGGCAGAGTAGGACAAATGCTTAAATTTATATTCTTCCACTCCAGTGTTAACTTTCCCTTTCTTAGATCGCTAAAATGAGCAAGTAGATGCCTACCTCAGGATCCCAATTGTTAGGAACAGAAAAAAAAAAGTCAGCTTCTTAAGCTTAGGCTTTTGTAGTTGGTGTGATATAAATGCGAGTCTATATCTGAATTGGAAATTTCCCAAACCATTTATTTTTATGACCTACTTTTTATTTAAAGGAATAAGTAAGATGTGCTCTTTATTTAGTGGGTCATCAGTATTAAAGAGAGCATGTTATCCTTATCAATAGGCCTTCTTCATATAAATGGATCATTATTTCTAAAAAGCTTATTGTGTCTATTGCTAGAAAGAACATACACTTCTATAAGTTATTAATAGATACTGATAAGTACTAGAATAATCTATAAATAACTTACAGAAATACATAAGTAGCAAATATAGTGGTATCTGTTACTTTTTCATGTCTCTTACAATTTGGTAGGTTCCCCATTTCAGCTCATAAGTGACATATTAAAGTTACCCAAGGATATCTAGGGGATGTTTTAAGAGATACAAAGTGTTTTGGTCTTCTATGTTCTAATTTAGGAACTGATTATGTTGTTGCAAATGGCTTAAGCGTATTAATAGCAAAAGAACTGTCATGGGTACCTCATTACCCTTTAAATAAAGTCAATTAAATGTGTACTTTATAGTTGAGTTTACCAGCCAAGGAATCATAGTTGGAAAGGCTATAAATTATTTCTTTCTGATATTTTGATTGTCTCTTCACCATGTGTTTTTACTTTGGTCTGCCATAATTACATTTTATTTTTTTCTAGACTTGCTCTGTATCATTTTATGATTTTTCTTCTAAGCATTAAATCTTGTGAAGTTATCAAATATTTTGCTTTGTTAGCAAGGAACAATAATATTAACCCCTTCCCCGGCAGAAACGCGTATACACGTTTTCACAAAATGTTCTTTTTTCAGTCGTCGACGAGTATACTCGTCTAAAACTTTACCTTCAAAAACCAGCTACATACGTACCATTCTAAATAATTTCATCTAGAAACTTTCTGAGGAAATACTATTCTTAACCACAAAAATGGGAAGAAAAAATAATTACAAACTGTTTTCATAACCAGCATCAAAAATACTATATAGAACCAAAATAAAAAAATTAGTCTGAAAAAGAAACGTTTTTAACAAAAAAATTATTGGGGAAGGGGTTAAACGGCAACAAGAAACTGTAGAACCATACGAACATATCAGGATAAGACCTTACTATATTGAACATTTCAGTATTCATCAACTGAACTTATATGAATGAAATAATGGTTCAGAATTTATTATGAAAACATAACTACCAGTTTGTACTTTTTAAAAAAAATATATTTTATTGATTTTTTTATAGAGAGGAAGGGAGAGGGATAGAGAGTTAGAAACATCAATGAGAGAGAAACATCGATCAGCTGCCTCCTGCACCCCCCCCACTGAGGATGTGCCCACAGCCAAGGTACATGCCCTTGACCAGACTTGAACCTGGGACCCTTCAGTCCGCAGGCCAGCACTCTAAGCACTGAGCCAAACCAGTCAGGGCCCAGTTTATACTTCTTAATCTCTTCCCCTTTCTTACCCGACCCCCTAACCCCTCTCCTCTCTGGCAATCATCAGTCTGTTCTCTGCATCTTTGAGTCTGTTTCTATTTTGTATGTTTATTTACTTTTTTCTTGAGATTCTATATATAAGTGAAATCATATGGTGTTTGTCTTGCTCTTACTGACTTATTTCACTTAGTATAATACCCTCTAGGACCATCCTTACTGTTGCAAATGGTAATAATTTCATTTTTTATAGCCAAGTAGTATTCCATTGTATATATGTACCACAACATTTTATACAGTTGTCTATTGACAGGCCCTTGGGTTGCTTCCATATCTTGGCTATTGTAAATAACACTGCAGTGATGAACACAGATTAAAAATGAGTGTGGAGAATTAGTGTTTGGATTTCTTCAGATATATACCCTGAAGTGGAATCACTGGGTCGTTAGGCAGTAACATTTTTAGTTTGTTGAGAACCCTCATATTGTTTTTCCTAGTAGCTACACCAGTCTGCATTCCCACCAACAATGCGCAAGTGTTCCCTTTTCTCCACGTCCTCGCCAATACTTGTTGTTTGTTGATTTATTGATGGTAGCCATCTGACAGGTGTGAGGTGATAACTTAGTGTGGTTTTAATTTGCATTTCTCTGAAGATTAGTGACTTTGAACATCTTTTCATATGTCTCTTGGCCATCTGTATGTCCTCTTTGAACAAGTATCTGTTCAGTTCTTTGCTCATTTTTTAATTGGATTGTTATTTGTTTGTTTTATGGTGAGTTGTATGAATTCCTTATAAATATTGGATATCAACTCCTTATGAATATGTTCTTCCTTTCATTAGGTTGTCTTCGTGTTATTGATGGATTCCTTTGTGTGCAAAAACTTTTTAGTGTGATGTAGACAGTACAAAAATTAAAAAAAATGTACTTTTGAAACAGGCAGTTGACCAGATTTGGCCTGTTTGTTCTAGTTTGCTGACTCCTTCCTCTATTGGAATTTGAAAATTATAGACAAAACAATAAAGTCATCTTTCTACTCTCCCCCTTCTCTCCTCACTCATTTTTAAACTTTTGAAAATAATTTGTCAAAGCTGCGCAGCTAATAACGGCAAAGCAAGGATGTGAACTCTGGCAGTCATGTAGAGCTCACACTTTTGACATTCATCATTATGCCATATTGGTTTTACAACCAGTTATTAGAAATAATGATGAATGTTTGTTCTGAATATTGTATGCTTATAAATACAGTGTGAATTTTGTTTGATAGGATGATTCAACTATATAGAAATATAAAAAGCAGAAAGTAAAAATCCTCTAGGAATCTCTTATCCCAGAGATAATCTCTGTTAAATTTTTTTATATCCTTTCAGATTTTCAATAGATATATAAAATAAATATTTTAAAAATGTAAATAAGAATTTTATTAATGTATATTGACCTATAAGAACTCTATATCATAGATAAATTTCTAAGTAAGAATATGTAAATCTAATTTATTCTTTTAAAAGTAGTATTTTAGTAAGATATCCCATACAGTGAGAATTTTTGACGTTTTATGTTTAAGTCCTTTTTAGCATATTATTTTCATATTTTGACTATTGGCTTTTTCTTTAATAGTATGAAGTATTCAGAACAGAAGAGGAGGAAAAAATAAAATCTCAGGGACAAGATGTTAAATCGTCAGTATATTTCATGAAGCAAACTATCAGCAATGCCTGTGGAACAATTGGACTGATCCATGCTATTGCCAACAATAAAGACAAGATGCATTTTGGTAAATAACTTTTCACTGCTGCTGTTTTCATCCCTTAAAACAGTGGTTCTCAACCTTCCTAATGCCGCGACCCTTTAATACAGTTTCTCATGTTGTGGTGACCCCAAAACATAAAATTATTTTCGTTGCCACTTCATAACTGTAATTTTGCTGCTGTTATGAATCGTAACGTAATCTGATATGCAGGATGTATTTTCATTGTTACAAATTGAACATGATTAAAGCATAGTGATTAATCACAAAAACAATATGTAATTATATATGTGTTTTCCAATGGTCTTAGGCGACCCCTGTGAAAGGGTTGTTCGACCCCTAAGGGGGTCGCTACCCACAGGTTGAGAACCGCTGCCTTAAAGTATAAGCTAACTTATTGAGCACTAGGTGGTGCTCTAATTCTTTCTTTCAAAGTACTACATAGAATATTTTCCTCCCTTCTTTCATTTATAATGGGGATGTATATACTGTTAGAAGAACTAATAATCCTTCTCATTCTTTTATATTGTTGATAAACGGAGGTTTAAGAAACAAACAACTTAAGCCTCATCATTTAGGCCAATATTCTTATATGCCTAATTTAACAGTGAAAAGGTTTTACCTGAAAAATAGGCAGCATGCTTCTAGTATTTTCATATATCAGTCTCTTTGAGATATCAAGCCTTTTTAATTTTATCTTGTTTAATATTCTCAGAATCTGGATCAACCTTGAAAAAATTCCTAGAGGAGTCTGTGTCAATGAGCCCTGAAGAACGAGCCAGATACCTGGAGAACTATGACGTCGGTACCTTCTATTTGTCTTGATTTTATATGTGGGCAAAGTTTTATGGGATTGTAGATTCAGTTTGGGGGTTTGTCTTGAAGCTGTCATTTTGAACAATTATGGATTTGGTTGCATCCATTAAAAAGGCATTTTTTTATGTTTCAGGTAACAGTACTGAAATATCCATAAACTGCTGCTTCATTTCTATATCCAGAGCTGAATGAGAGAGAAAAAGCAGTTTGTTTTACAAGTTTATAAATATCTTATGATAGACTATTTCTCACCATTCCCTCCCTCCAATAAATATATGCCCTGTATGTCTTTCCCGGGGAATTTGGAGTAAGGCTGAAGACAATGGAAAAAACAAAGGTTTAAGGGTAGATGTTAGATCATACTCTACTTCTTTTATCAGCATAATATTTTTGCATGTGTGAAGATAGGCCACAAAGTCTAGTTTTAAATGATTGTACCATTTCATAAAATTTTCTTAGAATGGTATTTAAATTTTATTATTTTTGAAATCTGTTTTTCTTTTGAAGGCATTTTACCTTTTTTAAAATTTATTGTTCAGTTGTACTTGACATACGATATTAAGTTAGGCTTTCTACCTATTGGTAACATTAAGCAAATCGTAAGTTCTTTGAAAGTAGAAGCAGTGTGGTGTATATATTACTCAGCTAGAACAGTGCTTTACGCAGAGTTTGTTCCCAGTAAATTTATTGATTTGATTATTTATTTTTACCATTGTAATATAATTTGACTATTTTAAATTGTTTTTTTCTTTAAAAAACCTGCAGAGCTCATAAAACATTTTCATTATACATAAAAATGAAATAACACAAAAGTCAATAGTATCTCACCAATGAGATGTGGCCACCATTGATATTTTTTATAGGGAGTATATATGTATATACACACTTTTTAAAAACGAATATTTGATAACACTGTAATATTGTTTTATAACTTGCTTTTTTCACTTAACTTATCACAAATGTATTACATACCAGTAAGTATATATTTGACATCATCATTTAATGGCTGCATAGCTTTCCATTGTGTAGTATTTTATTTAACAAATAAATTATTGTATTTTTTCCTCTTTTCACTGTTTAAAAAATACAACCATTTTTTTATTTGTAAGTCTAAGGGAGAAGAGATCAGTAGTCCTAATCTTTGCAAATAGCTAAATCTTTGCAAATATCCATAAAGATATGTACTTATATACAATTATATGTAAATACACAAACTTATAGAAGAGAATTTGCTGGATCAAACTGCATGTTTTTAAGGATTTGATAATTATTGCTAAATTGCCATGCATTGAGATTGTACTTTCACCTGTAATTTACTACTTTGCCTATTTCTCTTCAACTTTGCTAATAGAGGGTATTATAAGAGCATTTTTTTTAAAGTTCAGGAAACTAAACTCTCTAGCTTCTGGTAAATGCATGCTTTTGCTCCACATTCCTAAACTTCTGCCTGAAGCTGTATGGTTAAGCATAACTACAGCCAGAGCTGCAGAGGAGCATGTAACCTGAAGAAACAGATGAGCTTAGCTTTTTCCGTGTCTCTCGTGAGATGCTTACTTCATTCTAGTCTCAGTTGAACAAAGTGTTAAATGTCAGTCCTAACAATTAAGTTAGGATTCCCACTTGCACCTGGAAATTACAAATAATTCAATATTCAATATCCTAAGTCTTCAGAGATTTGTGGGTTGGAAAGTACAGCAATTCATTCTTAAATATTCTTAAATACTTTAAATTAAACTTTTCCTGAATTTACTTCAATTTGTTGTTTCATCAGTATTTAGTATTGTTTTCATTTAAAAAGTAGGATATAGTCATTTTCCCCCCTATTAACACTTTGCATTTCTGTTACAGGCTATTCGAGTTACTCATGAGACCAGTGCCCATGAAGGTCAGACTGAGGTATTTCACATTTTTCAAAACTCCTCTGCCATGTGTAAATTTAACCACGAGGTTATTATATAACATGTAGTTTAAAAAAATTCATTGGACTTCTTTTTTTCCTTTGAAGGAATTGGCTCTTATGCAAAAATTAGTCACGAAGTAGCACAAAAACACATTTTGACAGATTGTTAACAGGCACATTTATATCGGCCATCTCAGTTTGTATAATTATTTAGATAGATTGCAGATTGTGTGTTGTTTGCTTTGGGTAACTGATGGCCTGTGACTTCCCTATAACAGTGATTTTCAACCTTTTTCATCTCATGGCACATATAAACTAATTACTAAAATTCTGTGCCACCCCAAAATACATGTTTTTGCCAATCTGACAAAAAAGATAGGTCTAATTTTGGTTCATTCATACCAGACAGCTATTGTGTTGGCTTGTGTCATTTTTTTATTTGTAAGTCTAAACATGCAATACCTATTTAGTCAATAGTCCTGACTAAATAGGTATTGCATGTTTTAATTCTGTGATTTTGAAAATCACTGCCCTATGAGATTCCTTTGACTTGCAAATATTTTGAGAAAAATACCTGCACTGTAGTACAGATGGATAACTTGTATGATTTTTAAGAGTCTTTATCACACCCAGCTTCTAGCAAAAAGCTGCATCATTCTCTTTGCTCAGTAAATCTGTTTTGGGGCAATGCGATGATCTTCACCATCTTTACTCTGTTAGTGAGTTCTTCTAGGTTGCCTCTCCTCCTCTCGCCCCCTTGTTTCATTCTAATGGTTTTCCTCATTCCCTCCTTCCATTTCTTCTTTTCTTCTCTCAACCTCACACTCCCACTCTTGGGAGAAGTTTGTGAAAGGTATTTTAAACTAAATGACTATAATTTAATTAAAGTCATTTGGTATATTTATAACACATTTAACACCAGAAGATTATAGATGTTTTTCGTTTTCACCCCATGTGTGACTCTAAACCATACTTTTTAATGTACAAAGCTGACATTGCCTTTATGTCTTAACAATATTTTTTAAATACCTGACTTAAAAATAGTGAACTTAAATATTCCTACTACATAAAATTTTTTAAGGAGACTACAATTTGATACTACGGTATAACAACAATTTTTCATAGATTAAACTGGATAACTGTGAATGTTTATAATAAAACCATTTAGAAATTTAAACACTAAATCTTCCTAATTATATCATACCTTCTTGGTTGCTGTCAGGTTCTGCTTTCAGAAATGTGGACTTTTGGTTTTTGACTGTTTACACACAGACACACACATACAGATACACATGCACGCAAAGAATGTCTAAGTAGCTCCAGATTGGAAATTAATGAAATGCTCTGTTTTTTTTTTTTTAATTGCTTTATATGATCCTGGTATGCTTTGCTTTTTTGTTTTTAATTTATAGTGTTAAGCCCTAGCTGATTTTACTCAGTGGTTAGACTTAGAGTGTCGGTTCATGGACTGCAGGGTCTCGGGTTCAATACTGGTCAAGGGCACATACCTCAGTTGCAGGCTCGATCCTGTCAGGGCGCGTGTGGGTGGTAACCAGTGGATGTGTTTCTCTCACATTGATGTTTCTCTGTGTCTCCCCACTTCCCTTCCACTCTCTCTAAAAAATCAATGGGAAAAATTATCCTCTCGGGAGGATTAACCAAAGAAAAAAAATTATAGGGTTAAAATTAGTAATGATGACGATGATGATCAGCATGAGATTTGTAAACTATGAAAACAGTTATTTGTAATAAAGGAACCAAATGCTTTAATACTTGTTTACTTTTTAAAAAGTGTCTTCAGGATACTTCTCTTGCCACCTTTTAGTTGCTTTATCCAAATTACAGCTTTACTGTTAGATAATGTTCAGATCTCTTTTTCCAGATCTAAACTGAATGACTAATATTTTAGAATGCACATATTCTTGTGTGTTTATTGTCCTGTGTCTTACACATTTTCTTCCCTGTCTACCATACATTTTCCCCACTAATACTAATGTAATTTAGATTTGTTTAACTTCTTGCCTGGAAAATTAGCTGCTCATGTAAATTTTCAGTCTTTAATGTTTTTTCTAATTCTCATTCATTTTTACACAATTGTGCTGGATTATCTTTTTTGCAATATAACCTGAATCATTTGCTACTGAAATTTTCTAGGGACTCCCTAAATGATTCTCAAGGTAAGGTGGATGGAGAAGTTAGGATATTCTAGGTGGCTTTTTCAAATTGTATTCCCACAAAAATTAATCTCTTCTGCGAGTTTTGCATCTCCCATTCTTGGTGTATGTTATAGCCATAAAGTGTATTGGGGCAAAAAAAAAAAAGCATTTGCTAACCATTACCCAAGCATATGTAATAATATTCAGTCTCTTTAGCCTCCTTGCTCACCTGTATACAAGGTTTGCTTAACCCTTGTCCTTCCAGTTTTTAAAAAAATATATTTTATTGATTTTTTACAGAGAGGAAGGGAGAGGGATAGAGAGTTAGAAACATCGATGAGAGAGAACCATCGATCAGCTGCCTCCTGCACGCCCCCTACTGGGGATGTGCCCGCAACCAAGGTACATGCCCTTGATCAGAATCGAACCTGGGACCCTTTAGTCCACAGGCCAACGTCTATCCACTGAGATAAACCGGTTAGGGCCCTTCCAGTTTTTCAACAGTGTTTTCTTCTTAATTATTTCTCTCTAGCCATCCCTCACTTTATTGTTGCTGTGTTTTACCTCTTGCAATTCCCTGTTCCTAAAAATACTCCTTCTTTCAATCTCTAGTCTTCCTAGGTCTACCTGCCCTTCAAGATTGGGCTTAAATACCACTTTCTTCATAAAGCAATCCATCCCTTCTACAAACTCTTTTATATGACTCCTATTATTTGCATTTTAACTATTTTCATTTATTTAAGATATATTTATTTATTTTAATCCTCACCCGAGGATGTTATTATTGACTTTAGAGAAAGGAATGGGGAGGGAGAAAAGACAGAGAGAAACATCCATGTGAAAGAGAAACATTGATCAGTTGCCTCCCGTATGCATCCCGACTGGGGATTGAACCTGCAACCTAGGTATGGGCCCTGACCAGGAATCAAACCTGCCACCCTTTGGTATATGGGACAGTGCTCCAACCGATTAAGTCACCCGGCCAGGGAAAGTTATATATTTTTTGCACATTTTAGCAGCTCTGAAATTAGGATGTGTCTTATAGTTGACATCATAATTTATTTGGTGGAATTCCCTTATGTTATCATTTTATAATATAAATTATACATCTTATAACCAGTGGTGCCTTAGTTTTGATGAAATGTGGTGTCATATCACTCTTACTGTGGCTCTTGGGCCTCAGGTTGGTATCTGATTCATTTGGGCTTTCTCCAAAGTACCCAACACCATTCCTTGCACATAGACACAGCACATTTATGAATTCACCAGAATTGGCTCAGAACTATCCTTAGTGGTGTAAGAACTACCAAAAGAAAAAAAAAAAGGCTAAATTTGTTTTTTCGTAAGCCCCTTAGTAAAGAAAACATATTCATTAGCCTTTATTCCTCAATAGGGCACTATACATTTTTGGAAAGTTTCAGTTCTTTGTTGTGTGGGGCTGTTTTGTGGAACATAGATTGTTATATTCTAGTCACTGTACAGGGATGGGCAAAAGTAGGGTTACGGTTGTGAGTACATGAAACAGAATTTATTCTTGTTTTGTGTATTTTTCCATATAAACAACTATGAATGTATTTTTGTCCACCCCTTTATTTCAGTGGTTCCAAGTCACTGAGAGAACAAAAACCAAATCATACATTTCCAAATCCAGACTTAACCAGCTTAAAACTCCTGCAGCGGGAACTATTTTGATAATCATCTCATTTCTGGTCCATCTAACACAGTGATGGTCAACCTATGACACGCGTGTCAGAGGTGACACACAAAGCCATTTTTTTGGTTGATTTTTCTTTGTCAAATGGCATTTATACATATAAAATAAATATCAAAAATATGTCTTTGTTTTACTATGGTTGCAAATATCAAAAAATTTCTATATGTGATATGGCACCAGAGTTAAGTTAGGGTTTTTCAAAATGCTGGCATGCTGAGCTCAAAAGGTTCGCCATCACTGATCTAACATCTAGGTGCTTAAGTCTTTGAGTATTATCTCCATTGCTTTCTATATGCTAACACACTGGTTTTGTCATTTTCCATAAATATCTAGGTTTTTCACATTTGTTTTTATTTATTTACTTGCTGCCATAACAGAACACTGAAGACTTGACTTTAACAGCAGACATTTATTTTCTCCCAGGTCTGGAGGATAGAAGTCAATATTAAGGTGCCATCATGGTTGGTTTCTTGTGAGGCCGCGCTTCCTGACTTATAGACAGGTGCCATCTCCACTGTGTGCACACCTGGCCTTTCTTTGTGCATAGGGAGAGAGAAAGAGAGAAAGGTCTCCTTCTTTTTTTATAAGGACACCAGTGCTGTCAAATTAAGGCCCATCCTTCTGCTTCCATTTAACTTTAATTACCTCCTTAAAAGCCCTCTCCAAATGCAGTCACACTGGGGGTTAGGGCTTCAACATAGGAATTTTGGGGCAATATAATACAGTCCATAACACCACCTTGTGCTTTCTTTTTTTAAAAAAAAAAAATATATATTTTATTGATTTTTTACAGAGATAAAGGGAGAGAGATAGAGAGCTAGAAACATCAATGAGAGTCCACTGAGCCAAACCGGTTTCGGCTGTGCTTTCTTTTTTTAACAAAACAAACAAACATTTTTATTGACTTTAGAGAGAGAGGAAGGGAGAGAGATAGAAACATGGATGAGAGAGACATTGATCAGCTGCTTCCTGCAAGCCCCCTACTAGGGATCGAGCCCACAACCCAGTTATGTGCCCTGACCAGGAATGAAACCGGTAACCTCTTGATTCATGGATCGACTCTCAGCCATTGAGCCATGTTGAAATATAGATTATTATATTCTAGGCCCATCTTTGTGTTTTCTAA